GCATTTATGAATGATTTTGCTTTGTGTATAAATAAATATGTCCCTTCTGGATTTGTGTTGAGTTGATGAATCCTGGGAAATGGGAGCGGTAGAGAATACAAAAATGCAAAAACCAAAAAAAAGTGAATTGATAACTGTGGTACTTTGAAATTAAGGCATGTCGTCATGATAGCCTGTCTTAAATAAAGGCTTGCAGCTCCTTTTATTTAAGACACATGAGATAGTTTGACAGTTTACTTTGACAGCATCTTCACTGTAGAGTTCATTGCAGAGTTTAACATGAATTTCGGTTCCAGGTTGGAAACATTTCTCTGCTCTTCTTCTTTTTCATCTACGCTGCGCTGGGAGTGGAGCTCTTTGGCAAACTAGGTCAGTCGCACGACTGGTATAAGAAACACAGACGTACACACACTTAGTGCAAAGGATCACGGGCACATAGCTGATTTGATATTTGCCCAGCATTCACATTGTTGCCATGGAAATCCAGAACTCTAGAGCTAGCCATTCAGGAGTAGTCTGAACGGCTAGTCTGACCTCCTCTCATGCCACACTATCAGTATGTTACTAAGCGTATTCTCATACTTCATAATGTGGTCACCATTATCCAGAATCTTAAGCTGATGTTTTTGTAGTTAAATAAACAGTGTGCTTTTGATTCTGAAGTTGCTGAATCAGATGCATTTCTGAAGGATGCCAACACTGCAGAAAACCTAGAACTACATGTCTGTCTTGTTTGCCTCTGTGTTAATCAGAATGCAGCCCACATTACCCCTGCCATGGTTTAAATCAGCACACCAACTTCAGGCATTTTGGGATGGCCCTACTCACGCTTTACAAAGTGTGCACTGGAGACAACAGGAGCAGTATCTTGAAAGTACGCACACACTTATACATGCATATTCACAAGCGCTATACATGTATTATCCTCTAACCACTGACAAAACAACAATATCCAAAGCCAGTCATGTATGGAATAATGTTTGAGGATAATACCAAGGAACTTTTAGATTATTGGTGGTTTTATGCTATGGCTGCCTACCATGGTTAGTTTAAGTTATTTCACACCTGCCAGCCGGTGAATGAACAAAATCTCCTTCTGTTCCTGTCTAGGACACACTGAGGGAGTGTCGTCCACATGCCGGTGGCTGTGCTAGCTACCTGCCCTGGGTTGGTCCAGTCTACTTGATCAGCTGTGTGGTCATTGTCCAGTTTGTGCTGATGAACCTGGTGGTGGCTGTAATCATGCGGGCTCTGGAGGAGAGCAAGACGGTAAGGAAAGCCCTCAAACATACAGCCATTCACTGATAACAACAACTGGAACGCTTTGACACATTCAAATCTCCTCTCTCCATACATATACGTATACCTGAACGAGTAATATTGAGCTCATCGAGTAATGCAGACGCTGTTTCTAAAACGAGATCTTACTTGATTTTTAAATTTTTTTTAAATTCATTATCCCAACCTTTGAAACATCAGTCCCATTGACAAAACATAATCGTAATATAATAATACTGAAATGGATTTCTGATATCAATATTGAAATACCACTGTAACAGAAGAATATTTTAATATTTCAGAACAAACCTACTAACAATTATCTCCCCCTAGGAGGAGGAAGACCCGTCAGCCGCTGAGCAGGCCTAGCTGGGGACACATTTGTTGTTTTCATTAGTAATTCATTCTAAATGTATTTTCTTGCTTTCTACTTGTTTATAGTAAATCCTGTCAGTTTCACTTCAATCTTGTAAATTTGTAAACTATTTTGATTTAATAAATTAAAAAAAAAAAAACATGATGTACACAAGAAAACACCACTTTGACTTCTTTGCTCATTATTTAGCTGCTTTACTGTAAGTAGGTGGTAAAAACTGAATGTGATGCCGAATAATACTACAGGATCCATATGGTAGGGGTTGAGGACTGTTTCTGTTGCAGCAGCATTTTCCGCCAAAACTGAACACCGACAATCGTACGGCAAGGACCCGTCCATTGCCGCTTATGGCTTTAATTGTTTTTATTTTGCCATTAATCTGTCAGAGGGACCAAACCAGGACTTTTACTTTATTACATTTGCTCTGTTTTGCTGCTAATACTTGAATACTTTTATTTAAGTAGGATTTATTTTTCCATTGCTGCACTAGTACTTGTGCTTTAGTAAAAGATGCCATAATATCAATAAAGAGAGCACTCAGAGGAGTCATTTTTCTGCCTGTGATACTTAAGTTTGTCTCCAAAAGTACATTATTTGGTAATACTCGCATAGTTTGTACTCAAAGCAGCAACTTTTTACAGAGTGGTAAAAATACTTTGACTTCAGTAATGATGTCTGCATTTCTTCCACCACTATTTCTGAATTAAACCAGTTTGGAAGAATACGTCAGCTTGGTTTTAAACCTTTGTTTTGTTGGTAGCTTCCAGTACCTCTGTGCATGTTGCCAGTTTTTGCAGACTGTTTTAATTTTTTCATATCATTTCAAAGTAAATATACAGAACAGGCACATTTTTAATTCAATGATGAAACCACTGAGCAAAGTGTCGTTTTCATGGACACGTCTATTACATAAATCCATATGGACGTGAGGTCTGACGCAGTCTATTGAGAGCGTGGAGCAATACTGTACTTAATGATGGTGGAGCCAATAAAACTAATTAGAGTTTGAGGGTGCAGGCAGGAGCTGGCTGAGGTGAGGGACATGACATGAATATCTGCACAGCCACAATGGCGAAGCAGAGACGAGCAGCAGGGCCAGTGGAGAGGGGTGGGGCTGTTACGCAAAGGGAAACCACTGCAATCTCTTCCCCCGCTCTCTCATTCTTGTACACTAACGCAGGGCAAAAAAAAAAAAAAACCCTATACCACCCCACCCACATGCCTACCTACCCCTCCTCCTCCTCCAGCAGCCTCTCATCACACTGTACTTAGGAGCTTTGTACCACAGAAGCCTCCCCAGTGATGTTTTCTGTCAGCACACTGTTTGTGAGTACATCTATGTTTTGTCGCTGCTTTGTTGGAGTGATGCTGACAGCAGGGGGGGAGGAAGGGAGGGAGGCTCGTGAGGGAAAAGGGTAAAAAAAAAGAAAAGACAATAGCTGGCAGCTCCTTTTGACCTTGACATCCTATTCATGGATCTGAGGTGTCTGCTGCCTCAAAGTAACCTTCTTGTCACTGCATCCCCGTGTCCCCCCCGCTTTTAACGGCGCAGCCACAGTGTTATAATAAAGGCCGAGCTCTGTGTCTGCATCCTCAAAGGCACGGAATGACCTCCACTGTCATGTTGGGCTGTGTCATTGTAAATATTTGTCAGGGATGAGCAGCAGAGGAGACACTGACACCTGGTGGTAGGAAAAGAGTTTAGCTTGAGAAAATAATCATCTGCAAGGGCTGTCAAACGACTTCTTTCTGCAACAAAGAAGTTTCTGAGAATCTGCAGGTAGCTGTTGGTGTTTTGAAGTGCATGCATCTACAATCAGGAAATCAAAACTAGTTTGCGAATGAGCACACTTGCAAAGAGCAGGTATTTTTTGCAATAATGTGCTCTGGACCGATAAGTCAAACTCACATTTATTTGGCCACAATAGCAGTAGACATGTTTGGTGCAGCAGTGAAGCTTAGAGGTGAAAATGATGCTGCTTCAGGTACTGAACACTCACAGTAACTGATGATTCAAGGAGTATTTTAGGATCACATGAGGCAATCTGTATGAAAATTGAAAGATAATGATTATAATTACGCAAACAAACCCACCAAGAAATGCTTCAAAAAGGTAGAAATGGAGGGTTATGGAATGAACAGGTCAAAGGCCAGATTTGTATTCCAATAAAAATCTTATGGGGGGGGGATTTGAAATTACAGGAAAGAAAAGCCTCAAACATCTTGTACATTTTGCTGAGACTTTTGTCCAATTATGCTAAATACCTACAAGCAGTAATTTCTGCTAAAAGGTGGCAACACGAACTTCTGATGCCAATGGTTTAGTTACTCTTTCCATGGAATACAATTAAATCTATCAGTATTTGTGCTGAATAAATGACTGAAAAAGGTCATTTCTCTCTGGTTTACCTGTATCTGTAGGCATTGTTTTAAAGTAAATCCTGTATTTTTGTCCAAATATGTCAAAAACAACCAAACATTTTCAGTGTACTTGCGTTTTCCTGACTGTATATATAAAAGTATAAACCTAAATTAACAGGAAAAGATTTCAGATAATGTGGCTCCAACACAGTTCTAGATCCCTGTGATGCTGCATGAGCCATCAGATGAATAATAATTGTGACTCCTGTCAGTTAGTCATCAGAGTCGACAGAGACTTCACATTGGATTAGATCATTTGAGCTTGAGAGGTTCCTCGGAAGAGGTGGGCATGTCAAAACGCTTGATGTGTGTTAATATTCTGTAATATTATGAATATAAAACCTACTATTTGTTTCAGTGACCCCAGTCTGATCCACCGGCTGGCCTGGAAAAAAAAACACCTGAATCTTTTTCACAACATAGATTTAGAAAACAGAAAAAGCTAAAGGTGCAACAGCATTAAAAATGATTCAGTTTAGCTAAACGAGTTCCACGGTCCTTGTATTGCTGGCTGACTGCCACGCAAAGTCAAAACGTCTGCTGTGAAAAAGATAAAATGGTCTGTGATACATATAAAAAAAAAAAAAAAGGTTGGGAAGCCATATTCTTGGGCAGCAGTAAGAAATAAAAGGTGTTACTAATAACATCAACAATTAATTGATTGATTCTCTTTAAGTGTCCCAAAAAGCATGTCAGTGTGACCAGCATGAACAATATCAGGACCTTGAAGATGTGTTTTTGGCTCAGAAGACTCTTTGAGGGTGACAATTCCTTAGAATAAACCCAATTTGTTCAAACACAGTAAAGCCAATTAGTCTGTGTTACCTTATTTGACAGAAATCGATGCATTTTTCTCGTGTTTCAGACCATTTGATAAACAAAGATGTCTGATATGCCTGCGTAAATTAAATCCCAACAACAGAACTGGTGAAAAAATGTATATTTATTTTTGATGATCTATTCTTGTCATTTTGGCGCTGATGATTTTCCCTTGGTACAGGCTAAAACCTCTGAAATGTATCTATGCAGCAAAAACCTGAAGCTGAAGCATGCACACAGAACTCAGGCTCATAGTTCTACTTTTTACACAGACTGTGTTTTTTCCACTATGATATAAAATATCTTCAACGACACACAATGCTTACTGCAACACTGCTTTGGATGGATGTACAAAAAAGGCCAGAAACCTGTTTTCTAGCTCATGTAGGAGAATCAGCATGTCTGTGTTAAAAATAAAAAATGTGGACTACACAATGAACAAAAGCAAATCATGTACAAGGTATGAAATATATTTAACTGCTTTGTTTCATGTAGAAAGTTAGTATAGATTGTAGTGCAGATTTTTGATAATTTATAAGTTACACAACAAAATAAATATAGTCAAATCAACACTGTACTCCAGCTTACATTCTGTTTTTCCATTAGCTTCTGTTAGTGTTTGATTTTTTTTGGTTTTAAGTGCAAAAGTGCATGTTTTTTCATAATTCAAGAACTTCATAAAGTCTGATTTAAAAAAGGAACTTATTTTCACAGCTGTGCAGTTCATAAATTCATCTTTACAACCTGTAGCAATGATCATCAGACCTCGAAATGTTACGGAGTTGAGCAATTTTTTTTGGATTCTTCCAGATTAAAAAAAAAAACAGGTCTTGCTCTGCAGGGGAAAGCAAATAGAAAAAAAGGGAGTTTGTCAAAGGCACAGCTGGCCTCAGTGGGTGGCAGCCGGTGTGGACGGTGTTTTCTGAAGCGTCCTTGAGCAAGACTACGAAGCTCTCTCTGCATCAGCGGTCCCCTGATAAATTACCAACCTCGGAGTGATGTTAAAAAATACCAACAACAACAGATGCAGGGTTCAGGGATTTTACAATGACATTCGTGGTGAAAAGACGGCCGTGTTGTCTGGATTAAAGGTCACGCAACATCTCCAGCAGACATCAGTACAGACACAACATGCTGGAGCTGGAAGGTGCTGCGACCTTTACAGCGGCTGTCGTTAAAGGGTTACTCGCGGTTTCTGACTGAGAACTTGATGCTGTGGTTGTGCAGCCGCTCGATCAGACTGGTCTTGTGGAAGGCAGCTCCTGGAGTGTAAACTCCTCCCCTGTCGATAACAACAGAGACAGACAATAGTGAGGTGAGGAGATAAAAGCGGGGTAAATATCTGCAGGAAGAGATCAGACATGCACTCTGTTCTGTTAATCTGAACGTGTCGGCTTCATGTCTTAATCACCACCCTGGTCACTTCTTTGTAAAAGTTGCAGCGGCATTTTTACTGGGTGAGAACAAGTAACATTTCTGTATCGCTTTCAACACAGCACAAATGTCAGCTGTTTGCAGTCACTTTAGCACTCACAAGTGTTATACTGCAAGTTCTGTGCAGTGATTTGAGGCTTTTTCCACATTTCAGAACCAATATTGGGTCAAAAACATCACAGAGAGAAAAATATGCAAAACAAAAAAAAAGTCATTTTACAACTAATACAAATCTAAATGCTCCTAAAGCTTAACTGCAGAGAATACAGAGTGTGTAACAGGTCAGATCAGTGGCACACACCAGTAATAAATGTAATCAAGGTTTGATAATGAAACATTATCAGGAGCTAAAGTTTAGTTTGTTGTTTCCAGCTGTTTGTAGGAGTCTGTCCTCTGAGTTTAATAATTACCTGCAGCGTCAGACGACAGACACATGGAACAGCAGCAGCAGCTTTGTTAATTACTTCTACTCTTAAATCACCTCGACTTGGAGAAAGAATCGATCAGGATCTAACAGCAAGTCACACTGTGAGCTGCCACTCAGACACAGTTCATAAACTACAGAGTAATCATTTGCAGTGTTACTTTTCTAAATAGTTTGTACAAAATCAGTTTAAGCATCATGTTTAATTTTGATGTGCAGTATCTCAGTATCACTTGTAATATTGCTTTATTACCTAAAATCATTCCCAGCATTACTTCTCACTTTTCTACTCTAGTCTTATTTTAGCTTACGCAGCCGTATTGTATTATACTTTTATCTCACTGCATTTTCTCATGTTACGTAATCCTGTTTCCTGAACAATATCTGGCACAAGAGCTTCCTTAGGGATAAATAATACCTTATCTTGCATAGCAATTTTAGATTTAGTCTTTTGTTTATTAGTGCAATATTATGTCTGATTTAACAGATTGGTAAAGCAGAAGTATTACATATCCCATGTTGGAAAAGAACTGTAGATGAAATATAACCTAATCTTCCCATTTATGACGGCAAACAAAGTAAAAGAAGTGTAAGAAAAGAAAACCAGGTTTCACTGACCTCCTGGGGAGAGAGTGCAGTTCATTCAGCAAGGTGACGGCTGCTTGTACCATAGCAGAAACTGTCGCTACATACCCGGGCTCTGTCAACAAGAGGAAACAAACACGAGGCTTAAAGAGACAGAAAAGCTTGTGGATGTTCCAAAATGTTGTCTACAGCACAGGAAACAGTAACAGTGTGTGTTACGAGGACACAGGGATGCATGGTGGGATTCATATTCTCCTTATAGTCAAACAAAGAAAACTAAAGTATCAAAGCCTGATAAATGAACAATTAATGCTTGTTAGAAACTACATCGTCCAGCTGTTTGAGAGGATCACACAGGAGCTGTATGTTATCTATAAGCTCTACAATTAACACGTGTGGAGGCCTGTGGTGGTCTCACCTGCTCCCATGACCTGAGTGCAGATTTTGGTGTTGGGTCGTCCCTGTGATGGATCCGTCCCCTCCGAGTAGCCCTCCCCATAAAATGTTAAGCTGAAACAGGTGTCCTCTATCTGAGAGAGGAGAGTAAATGGTGAGACAGGAACCGAATCGCAAATTAAACAAGATTTCATGGTGCAGCATGCTGTCTGATAAAACAAAACTCCAGCAAAATCAATACAGATACGGCTGAGAGCATAAACACGGGCAGAGTGTCCAAAATGTAAACCGTGGATGTGTCAGAACAGTTTTAACCAGAATACAAAACAAACAGAGCAATTAATAGTTTAGTCAAAAAAAAAAGAGATTTATTTTAATATCTTTCTCACAGTATATTATGGTATTCTGTGTCACTTAAAGTC